AGTAAGAGAAGAGAATAAGAGTCTCTGCTTGGTAATCCAGAGAATTATCCCGAATGTTGTCCAAAACCATCAAGGCAATACCTCTACAAGTCTGCAAGAACCACAGCTTTACTGGACTTGGGATGCCTCCTAAAACACATACAGTTTAGATCAAAATATTCAAATCTGTCCAGATATCTGGAAAGGCTTCCCAAGAAAGTTGAGTACAAAAAATCCCAGACAGAACACTACAATAAATACTTTAGCTCTTCAGTGCCCAGACAGTGAAGCGCATCTATTAGCATTAACCCAATTTAGAAAAACATGACCTCATCAAATGAACTAAATAAGGCACCAGAGACTTATCCTGGATAAATAGAGATATGTGACTTTTCAGACAGAAAATTCAAAATAGCTGCATTAAGGAAACTCAAAGAAATTCAAAATAACACAGACAAGAAATTTATAATTCTATCAGATGAATTTAACAAAGATATTGAAATAACTAAAAAGAATTAAACAGAAATTCTGGAGCTGAAAAATGCAACTGGCATACTGAAGAATGTATCAGAGTCTTTTAAGAGCAGAACTGATCAAGCAGAAGAAAGAATTAGTGAGCTTGAAGACAGGTTATTTGAAAATACTCAATCAGGCTGGGTACAGTGGCTCATGCCTATAATCCCAGCACTTTGGGAGGCCAAGGTGGGTGGATAAGTTGAGGCCAGGAGTTTGAAACCAGTCTGGGCAATATGGCAAAACCCCATCTCTACTAAAAATACAAAAATTAGCTGGGTATGGTGGTGTGCACCTGTAGTCCCAGCTATTTGGAAGGCTGAGGCACAAGAATCACTGGAGCCCAGGAAGCAGAGGTTGCAGCAAGCCTGGGCAACAGAGTGAGACTCTGTCTGAAAAAAATAATAATAATAATCAAAAGAGCAAGAGAATAAACAATAAAAACCAATGAAGCACACCTACAGGATCTAGAAAAAAGTCTCAGAAAGGCAAATCCAAGAGTTATTGGTCTTAAAGAGGAGGTACAGAAAGAGATGGGGTAGAAAGTTTATTCAAAAGGATAATAACAGAGAACTTCCCAAACCTAGAGAAAAATATTAACATCCAAGTACTAGAAGGTTATAGAACACCAGGCAGAATTAACTCAAAGAACACTACCTCAAGGCACTTAATAATCAAACTTCTGTCCAGGCACAGTAGCTCATATCTGCAATCCCAGCACTTTGGGGGACAGATGTGAATGAATCACTTGAACTCAGGGGTTTGAGACCAGCCTGTCTCTGCAATAATACAAAAAATTAGCCAGGTATGCTTTCATGTGCCTGTAGTCCCAGTTTTCAGGGGTCTAAGGTGGGAAGATTACTTGATCCTAGAAGGTTAAGGCTGCACCACTGCACTCCAGCCTGAGACCCTGTCTCAAAAAATGACAATAATAATAATAACACTTTTGAATGATAAAGAAAGGATCCTAAAAGCAGCAAGAGAAAATAAACAACATACAATGGAGTTTCAATACATATGGCAACAGACGTTTCAGTGAAACCTTACAGACCAGGAGAGGGGGCATAACATACTTAAAGTGCTGAAGGGAGAAAATTTTTACCCTAGAATAGTAAGTCTGGCAAAAATATCTTTCAGACATGAAGGAGAAATAAAGATTTTCCCAGACACACTAAAGCTTAGAGATTTCATCAACACTAGTCCTGTCCTACAAGAAATGCTAAAGGGAATGCTTCAATCAAAAAGAAAAGGATGTTAGTGAGCAATAAGTAATCATCTGAAGGTACAAAACTCACTGGTAATAGTAAGTATACTGAAAACCACAGAATATCATAACATAGTAACTGTGGTGTGTAAACAGCTTTTATCCTAAGTAGAAAGACTAAACACTGAACTAATCAAAAATAATAGCTACAACTTATAGACAGCACATAAGATATAGATGGTACAATAAGATATAAGTAGAAACAACAAAAAGTTTAAAAGTCAGGGGATGTAGTTAAGATGTAAAGTTCTTATTAGAACTTTTCTCTTTGCCTATTTGTTTGTTGTTGTTGTTGTTGTTGTTCATGCAAACAGTGTTAGGTTCTTACTGGCTTAGATCAATGGGTATGAGATAGAATTTGCAAGCCTCATGGTAACCTCAAACCAAAAAAATAAAATAAATATACAAAAAAAAAAAAAAGCAAGAAACAAACCATATCACCACAGAAAATCACCTTCACTAAAGGAAGACAGGAAGGAAAGAAAGAAGGAAGAGAAGTTCACAAAACAGGAAACAAAAAAATTGCCAGGAGTAACTCCTTATTTATCAATAATAACATTGATGTAAATGGACTAAATTCTCCATTAAGAAGATATAGAGTGGCTGAATGGATTTAAAAAAAAACAAGTCCCATTGATTTGTTGCCCATAAGAAGCATGCTTCACCTATAAAGACACACATAGACTAAAAATAAAGGAATGGAAAAAGATATTCCATGCCAATGAAAGCCAAAAAAGAGCAGGAGTTGCTATATTTATATCAGACAAAATGGATTTCAAAACAAAAACCATAAAAAGAGACAAAGAAGGTCAGTATATAAAGATAAAGAAGTCAACTCAGCAAGTGATATAACAATTGTAAATATATATGCACCCAATGCTGGAGCACCCAGATATATAAAACAAATATCATAGCTAACAAGAGAGATAGACTGCAATACAATAATAGGTGGAGACTTCAATACCCCACTTTCGGCAACAGACAGATCTTCCAGACAGAAAATCAATCGCACAAAAATTGGACTTAATCTGCACTATAGATCAAATGGATCTAATAGATATTTACAAAACATTTTATCCAACAGCTGCAGAATGCACATTCTTTTCCTCAGCACGTGAATTATTCTCAGGGATAGACCATATGTTAGGTCACAGAACAAGTCTTAAAACATTCAAAAAAATTGAACTCATATCAAGCATCTTCTCTGACCACAATGGAATAAAACTAGAAATCAATAACAAGAAAAATTTTGGAAACAGTACAAATGCATAAAAATTAAACAATATGTTTCTGAATGACCAGTGGGTCAATGAAGAAATTAAGAAGGAAATTGAAAAAATTCTTGAAACAAATGATAATGGAAACACATCATATCAAAATCTATCAGATACAGCAAAAGCAGTACTAAGAGGGAAGTTTACAGGTATAAGTGCCTAATCAAAAAATAAAAATAAAAACTTCAAATAAACAATCTAACAATGCATCTTAAAGAACTACAAAAACAAGAGCAAACCCAAGCCCAAAACTGGTAGCAGAAAACAAATAGAAACGATCAGAACAGAAATAAAATAAATTGAAGTGAAGAAAAGAATACAAAAGGTCAATGAAACAAAAAGTTGGTTTTTTCAAAAGTTATACAAAACTGGCAAACCTTTAGCCAGACTAACTAAAAAAAAGATAGACTATCCAAATAAATAAAATCAGAAATGAAAAAGGAGACATTATAACTGACACTGCAGAAACTCAAAAGATCATTAGTGGCTATCATGAGCAACTATATGCCAATAAATTTGAAAATCTAGAAGAAATTGACAAATTCCTAGACTCATACACAACCTACCAATATTGAACCAGGGAGAAATCCAAAACCTGAACAAACCAATAGCAAGTCATAAGATCCAAGCCATAATAAAAAGTCCCCCAGTAAACAAAAGCTTGGGACTTGGTGGCTTCTCTGCTGAATTCTACCAAACATTTAAAGAAAAACAAATACCAATCCTACTCAAAATATTCCAAAATATAGAGCAGAAGGAGGAAATACTTTCAAACACTTTCTATGAGGCCAGTATTACCCTGATACCAAAACCAAAGACATGTCAAAAAAAGAAAACTACAGGCCAATATCTCTGATGAATATTGATGCAAAAATCCTCAACAAAATACTAGCAAACTGAATTTAGTAATACATTAAAAAGATCATTCATTATGACCAAGTAGGATCTATCCCTGGGATGCAAAGATGGTTCAACATATGCAAATCAACCAATGTGATACATCATATAAACAGAATGAAGAATAAAAGCCATATGATAATTTCCACTGATGCTGAAAAAGCATTTGAGAAAATTCAACATCCCTTCATGATAAAAAACACTGAATAAAACTGGATAGAGAAGGCACACATCTCAAAATAATGAAAGCCATATGTGACAGACTCACAAGTAGCATCATACTGAATGAGGAAAACTGAAAGCCTTTCCTCTAAGAAGGGGAATACAACAAGGATGCCCATTTCCACCACTGTCATTCAACACAATACTGGAAGTCCTAGCTAGAGCAAACAGATAAGAAAAAGAAATAAAGGGCATCCAAATTGGAAAGGAAGAAGTCAAATTATCCTTGTTTGCAGATTGTATGATTTTATATTTGGAAAAACCTAAAGACTCCACTTGCTGGAAACCTCTGTGGCCAGGGGTGCCTTTGCCCAAGTTTTGATCAGTCCTGCTGGGCTCATTCCACCCACTCTGCCTGGCAGGCTGCATTTGGCTAGTGCTACTGGCCCCAAGGTCATGTCTGCCAAGGGTGAGCCAAGCACAGAGTGGCAGGGGATGCATGAGTGAGCAAGGGGACAGCCAAGCCCACTGGCTGTAGTGGGGCAGGCAGCTCCAGGCACCAGCAGGGGCTCCCTGTGAGGCTTCGGCTGGACCAGGTGTACCGCAAATGGCTTCCACTGAGGGTCCCAGGGAACATGGTGGTACCTGGAAGCTTGGAGATGCCAGGAACCATGGAACCCCAAAGAGGGTGTCACAGCCCTAGCTTGGGGAGCTCCTAAGTCTGGGCTCCCCTAAGGGTCACAGCTCTTCTCTCCTCTCTTCTCTCCTTCATGTTGCCCACAATGTGGAAAACAAGGGTGATGTTTCAGCCCAGTTTGTGTTACAGCTCTTTCAGTCCTGCTATCCAGTGGGTCTGGAGGGTCCTGGGTTCTTGTCCCACATCCAGGAAGAATGAGATACAGAGACAAGAAGAGAGTGAGCAAGGTGAATAAGAGCTTTACTGAGTGACAGAATATCTTAGAGGAGACCCTGAAGTGGGTGGCTCCTCTCCGCAGGCAGGTCATCCCATCAAGTTGAAGAAACCTGAATTGGGTAGCCTCTTCCGACCACTGGTAGTCCCAACATCTTCCCAGCTTTTAGCAGAGAGGAGACCCTGGAGTGGGCAGCTTCTCTCCACAGCTGGTCGTCCTGTAGAGTGTCTGAGTCTAGCTGAGCTTGGGGTCTTTATGGGCTGAGAAGGAAGAAAATGCATGCTGATTGACCCATGGGTGGCCATGGGCAGGCCTGGAAAAGGCACTATAAGTTCTCATTCTGGTTCATGGAACTGGAAGCCTGGCTCCCAGGCTTCCAGCCATCCCTGGCTTGAAGGTGAGGCTTCACCGGGGACCTGCCCCTTTCCGCCCAGAAGCCTGTCTGCCTCCTGCTGCTGTTCATGGTGCCCAGGCTGTTTGTGCAGAGGGGCACCTGCAGGCCATCGCTGAGCTGCCTTCAGCATCCACCTTTGCCTCCCTCCTGTGCTCATCAGTGCCCAAAGTCCAGAGGGGGCGGAGGCAGCAGGGGGCTGGCGTGTCAGCACTGCCCCAAGTGTGTGCACACCCAGCCGGTTGATGACAGTGCCCAGGCTTGACCTCAATTTTGCTCTGAGGTCAGAGTGAGCACCAGGAGTGGGGAGAGGCCAGGCAGCAGTGGTAGGCACTTCTGAGCCTGCAGGGACAGGGGCCAAGAGTGCAGGACATGCCCAGGTCCATAGCCACAGCTTAGGCAGCTGCAGCCACACCTGGGAGAGTGGGGCTCCTGTCTGCTCCTGGCTCTCTCTGGCTCTGCAGAGCCCACAGCCCAGTTGCGCCTCCCCTGCAGCTGCCAGCATCTTGGCAGTGCCCACAGCAGGCAGGCCACCATTGCCATCACCATGTATATCAACAGAGTGATATTGTTAGTCCATATGTCTTTCTTTTGCTTCCAAGTGTCACACTGCTCTCCAGGATAACCCATCTACATGCTCTAGCAATACAGGAGGATTTCTATAGCTCCATGTCCTTGCCAAAACTTGGCACAATCCAACTATCATTTTTCTTCTAGTCTGGTAGATTCCTTCAAAATAATGATTTTGTTTCAAAGGTATAGATTAAAGTCTAAATATTAAATAAGATATTATAGTGTTTCACAGAACACAGTAACAATCTCCAAAGCGTTTTTTATTGTTGTTGTTGCTACTGTTGTTTTGCAAAATTCTTGTGTTAGAAATAACTTTTGTGGCCAAGCAGGGTGGCTCACACCTGTAATCCCAGCACTTTGGGAGGCTGAGGCAGGTAGATCGCTTGAGCTCAGGAGTTTGAGACCAGCCTGTGCAACATGGCAAAACCCCATCTCTACCAAAAATACAAAAAAACTAGCTGGGCATGGTGGCATATACCTGTTGTCCCAGCTACTGAAGAGGTTGAGTTGGGAAGATTGCTTGAGCCCACGAGGCGGAGGTTGCAGGCACATCACTGCACTCCAGCCTGGGAGACAGAGTGAGACTCGCATCTCAACAAAAAAGAAAGAACTTTTGTAAGTATAGCTTTTATTATCCTAACTGCTGATCTAGCAGCTACAGGAGAAAATGGAGCATTTTCTCTTCCTTATCTTGAAGAAACTTCTTTCACCAGAAATTAGTAGGGCCTCTAGTTCTCAAGGTCAACTACCTAAATTCCATTGGTTAATCCTGAGGGATAAGCAGGCCTGAGAAGAAATGCAATCACACTGGGGAAAAAGGTCAGAGTAAGGATTATTGGAATATGGAGCATATTTTATTGTAATCTTTATTAATTTGTATGCATTATGTGTACCTATGTGTTTGCATATGTATTGCTGTGGGGGGTGTGTGTGTATGTGTGGTGTGTGTGGGGTGTGTATGTGTGTGGTGTATGTGTGGTGTGTGTTTGTGTGGTGTGTGGGAGGGTGTTGGGGGGGTGTGGTGTGTGTATGTGCTGTGCATGTGGAGTATATGGGGTGTATGTGTATGTGAGTGGTGTATGTGAGTGGTGTATGTGTGTGGTGTGTGTATGTGTGTTGTGTGTGATGTGTGTGTCTGGTGTATGTGTGTGGTGTGCGTGTGGTGTGTATGTGTGTTGTGCATGGTGCGTGTGTCTGTGTGGTGTATGTGTGTTGTGTGTGTGTGGTGTGTATGTGTGTTGTGCTTGGTATGTGTGTCTGTGTGGTGTATGTGTGTGATGTGTGTGTGTGTTGTGTGTATGTGTGTTGTGTGTGTGTGGTGTATGTGTGTTGTGTGTGTGTTGTATGTGTGTTGTGCATGGTGTGTGTGTCTGTGTGGTGTATGTGTGGTGTGTATGTGTGTTGTGCATGGTGTGTGTGTCTGTGTGATGTATGTGTGTGTTGTGTTATGTGTGTGTGTTGTGTTGTGTGTGTGTGGTGTATGTATGTTGTGTGTGTGGTGTGTATGTGTGTTGTGCGTAGTGTGTGTGTCTGTGTGGTGTATGTGTGTGTTGTGTTGTGTGTGTGTTGTGTTGTGTGTGTGTGTGTGGTGTATGTGTGTTGTGTGTGTGGTGTGTATGTGTGTTGTGCGTGGTGTGTGTGTCTGTGTGGTGTATGTGTGTGGTGTGTGTGTGGTGTGTATGTGTTGTGTGTGTGTGGTATGTATGTGTGTTGTGTTTGTGTACAGAATTGGCTTCAGCAACCGACCACTTCCTCATTCCCATTGCACCCTCTAGTCCATATAAGGAGAGAGAGAGAGAAAGAAAGAGAAAGAGAAAGGACTATAAACTCTAAACTATATTATAAATAAAATTTTTGTTATTTGTTCTTATCTGAACACTGGAATCCCAATCAGGACAGGAACAGTGTAGTTGGGTTTTTCACTACGGATATTCAGTACCTAGGAAGGTGCCCGTGACATAGTTCAGCTGAATGAGTCTTAGTTAAGCGGACATGTTCACTGATGGAAACTTGGAAAATACAAAATAAGTATAAGGATAAAAATAAAAAACAATACTAATTTCATCAGCCAAGATTGCGGAGGGGTGAGGAGAACCACTGTAGAACCTTCATACTTGGTCTCTAATCTATTTCCTAAGTGTATATAGATATATGAATACATAAACACCAAGTGATACAATATCTATCATTTTGTAGTCTGCGTTTTCATCTGGCAATTTAGCATAAGCATGTTTTCATGTCATGCCCTTAGCTACCACACAGTCAATGACAAAGCTGAAATTCAAATCTGGTCTGATAGGATTAAGTGTTGGTATTATTAACCAAATGCTATACAGCTGCGATCTAAATTTGGCAGCAGTATAGCATATATACAAATACATGTACAATATAATGTAATACAATGATCTTAAATACTTACTAGCTTGATAATAACACTTCCAGTGAAACATCAGCTCCATGAGAGCACTAGTCTTCTCTGTCTTATTCTCTACTGTATTCCCAGGGTCTAGATGAGTTCCCGCCAATACTAGGAGTTCATTAAATACATGTTAAATAAATAAATAAACAAATGGACGAATGAATTTTGCAAGCGTCTTTACCAGAAAGGTAAATAGATTGAGGACTTTGTGTTACAGAGAAGTATGGCACTATTTGGAGAGTACTAAGTCTAACCCTGCACAGGAGTAAACAAAGACCACAGTGCATTGCGCACTCGCCCCAGGTCAGATCCTGCGGGAGCAAGGCACATGGAGCCCAGCCTGGAGTTACCGTAAATTCCCTCAGTCATTTCAAAAAAGGTACAAGTAGGTCATTGGCTAGAGTTTTTGCAAATATGTTTTAAACAATGTGCTTTGACAAGACTCTATAAATAATGAATTTGTGGGTAAATAAAGCACACTGTTCTCTGAGAATGGACCTGGATTTTTTCCCACAATTAGAGATTTAAAAAAGTGAACCTAGTAAGTTAGAAGATTGCAAGAGGGCTGCTTTTGACCCAAGTTTGGAAAACAAGTTGTTGAGTAATATTTTTTTCCCTCTGACCACAGCTGAGACCAAAGAGGCTCCAAGTACCCCACGTTGTAGAGAGAGCATCCAAGAAGTAAGGCCAGATCTCATAGGCCCCCAAGGCTTATGAAGAGGTAGCGGTGTAGGCCTTCAGCAACCAACCACCTCCTCATCCCTATTGCACCCTCTGGTTCATATAAAGAGAAGACTGAGGAAAAGAATGGGAGAGAGAGCAGGGTTGTCAGTCCGTGGGGAGTACAGTGTTTGTGGAGACTGATGATTTCTCCATATGGATTTGGGGTTCATAGAGGAAAATAAGAATGCTGTGTAGAAGCTCTTTAGTTTAATTAGGTCCCACCTGTCAATTTTTGTTTTTGTTGCAATTGTCTTTGGGGACTCAGCCAAAAATTCTTTGCAAAGGCCAATGTCAAGAAGGATATTTCCTAGGTTTTCTTCTAGGAATTTTATTGTGTGAGTCTTACATTTAAATCTTTACTCCATCCTTTTTTTTTTCTTTTCTTTTCTTTTTTTTTTTTTTTTTTTCTGAGACAGAGTCTCACTCTATCGTCCAGGCTGGAGTGCAGTGGCTCAATCTCGGCTCACTGCAACCTCCGCCTCCCAGGTACAAGCGATTCTTCTGCCTCAGCCTCCTGAGTAGCTGGGACTACAGGCATACACCACCACATCTGCTTACCTTTTTGTATTTTCAGTAGAAACGGGTTTGGCCATGTTGCCCAGGCTGAACTCCTGAGGTCAAGCAATCTGCCTGACTCCTAAAGTGCTGGGATTACAGGCATGAGCCACCACACCTGACCTCTTTAATTCATCTTGTTAATTTTTGTATATGGTGAAAAGTAAGGGTCTAGTTTCAATCTTCCACATATGGCTAGCCAGTTATTCCAGCACCATTTATTGAATAAGGAGTCTTTTCCCCATCGCTTATTTATGTCAGCCTTGCTGATGATCACATGGTTATAGGTGTGCAGCTCTATTTTTGAGTTTTCTAATCTGCTCCATTGCTTTATGTGTCTGTTTTTGTACCAGTACCATGCTGTTTTGGTTCCTGTAACCTTATAGTATAGTTTGAAGTTGGGTAATGTGGTGCCTGCAGCTTTTGTTCTTTTTGCCTAGGATTGTTTTAGCTATTTTGGCTCTTTTTTTCTTCCATATGAATTTTAGAATAGTTTCTTCTAATTCTGTGAAGAATGGCATTGGTAGTTTGATAGGAATACCATTGAATCTGTACATTGCTTTGGGCAGTATGGCCATATTAACAATATTGATTCTTCTAATCCACGAATATGGAATGTTTTTCCATTTATTTGTGTCATCTCTCATTTCTTTCAGTAGTGCTTTGTAGTTCTCCTTGCAGAGATTGTTCACCTCCTTGGTTAGCTGTATTCCCAGGAATTTCATTTTCTTTGAAACTATCAACAAAGTAAACAGACAATATACAGAATGGGAGAAAATATTCACAGATTATGCATCCAATAAAGATCTAATATCCAGAAACTATAAATAACTTAAACAAATCAACAAGCAAAAACCAAATATGCAAAGGACATGAACAGATATTTCTCAAAAAAAAAGACATACAAGTGGCCAAAAAACATACCAAAAAAAATGTTCCACATCACTAATCATCAGAGAAATGCAAATCAAAACAACAATGTGATACCATCTCACACCAGCCAGAGGCAATTATTAAAAAGTCAGGCCAGGCATGATGGCTCACGCCTATAATCCTAGCACTTTGAGAAGCCACGACTGACAGATCACTTGAGCCCAGGAGTTCAAGACCACCCTGGGCAACATAGCAAAATCCCATCTCTGGAAAAAAAATACAAAAAAGTAGCAAAGTGCAGTGGCATATGCTTATAGTCCCAGCTACTCAGGAGGCTAAGGTGGGAGGATCACCTGAGCCTGGGAGTTTGAGGCTGCAGTGAGCCGTGATTGCACCACTGCACTCCAGCTTGGATGGCAGAGTGAGACCCTGTCTCAGTAAAAATAAACAAATACATAAAATAAAATAAAAATAAGTCAAAAAGCAACAGATGCTGATGAGGCTGCAGAGAAAAGGGAACATTTATACACTGTTGGTGGGGATGTAAATTAGTTCAGCCACTGTGGAAAGCAGTTTGGAGATTTCTCAAAGAACTCAAAACAGAGCTGCCATTAGACCCAACAATCCCATTGCTAAGTGTATACCCAAAGGAAAATAGATCATTATACCAAAAACATATATGTACTCATATGTTCATTGTCACACTATTCACAATAGTAAAGACATGGAATCAACTTAGGTGCCCATGAGTGGTGGGCTGGATAAAGAAAATGTAGTACATACATGCTATGGAATACTACACAGCCATAAAAAAGAATGAAATAATGTCCTTTGCAGCAACATGGATGCAGCTGGAAGCCATAATCCTAAGTGAATTAACACAAGAACTGAAAACCAAATACCACATGTTCTTATGTATATGTGGGAGCTAAACACTGAGCACACATGGATATAAACATGGGAACAATAGATACTGCAGACTTCTAGGAGGAGGAGGGAGGGGAGCGTGGGTTGAAAAACTACCTGTTAGGTATTATGCTTACTACTTGGGTTCAATATATGTATGTAGACCAACCTGTACATGTACCCACTGTCTCTAAAATAAAAAGTTGAATTTTTAAAACATTAAAAATGAATAAATACAAAGAAAAGAAAAATGCCTTCCCAGCTGGGTGCACACTGAGCTGCAAAAACTGCCAGCTCATTCTGGTGCCCCCATCAAAGCAGAGGGAAGTGTGGTGAGTTCCTGAGAGCTCACCGTGTACGAACATTCTGGTGTCTGCTTCTCATCCGGGAATTTCTGAAGGATGGAGTAGCCCAGACCAGCAGAGCCTGAAGAGGTAGTGGTGGAATATGCCTAAAAAGAAGATGGGGTGACTTCTTACCCAACTCTGATCTCTGCACCCCTGGGTAGGAAGAGAAGATATCCTCAGTCTTTCTGGTGGGTCTATTAAGAAAACCACTGAGGTTAAGGAAAAGGCAGCGGCTGGGCCAGGTAAGGTAAACTTTACCCAGATAGTGGGTTTGGAACAAGGACCACTTTCAGGACCAGTCGTAGATACAGCTGTTCTTCTCTGGGGAGTTCCACCCCCATATCTGAGGGGGCTGGATTTCACATCAGGAACAACCCTGACCACCAACTCGGTGCAGAGCTCCACATCAGTAGAGAATATATATCAGCATCAGTTAGAAGCACATCAAACTAGGGTGAGGCCAAAATGATTACCCCCTCCTTTACATCTCTCCCCTTCCCAATCCTGAGGCTGAGAAGTGTGATAGAAAGGCATCTCAGAATTGGACTATCCCCACCCTTCTCTAAGGTGCTGGTGCCAGAGGAGCAGAGAAAGGGTTCTCTAAACCCTCACCCCCCCAGCACTCCCACTACAATCTAGCCGACAATGGTGGAGCAGGATGCTTTAGAACAGACATGATGTTGGAGCTTGAAACAGGACTGTAGTGACCTTTAATAATCTAAATACTCTATAATGACTTAACTGTTAAGGATAGAGAAAAGAGTTTATAAGGCCACAGATGAAAGCAGGGTTTAGGAAAACTAAGCTACTTGGAGTTAAAAGCCCCTTAAACTGAGAATCCTCTATAAACTCGTTACATTTGGATCATATATATCATTTGTAGAATGACATTGGTTTTTCTAATTTTTTAATGTATTTCAATAGGTTTTGAGGGAATGGATGGTGTTTGGTTACATGAGAAAGTTCTTTACTGGTGATTTCTGAGATTTGGTGCACCCATCACCTGAGCAGTGTACATTGTACCCAATGTGTAGTTTTTTATTCCTCACCCCCCTCCCACCCTTTCCCCTGAGTTTCCAAAGTCCATTGTATCATTCTTATGCTTTCACATCCTCAAAGTTTAGCTCCCACTTATGAGTGAGAACATGTTCTGTTTTCCACTCCTGAGTTATTTCACTTAGAATAATGGTCTCCAATCCCATCCAGGTTGCTGTGAATGCCATTACCCGCAGAACGGCATTGTTTTTAATCTGTATATAATAACGGGTAGCTTTAGGTTGTAAGTTCCACACCTTTCCATGCCCTTCCACCCTGCCCTTTTGGTCACACTAAAACATCTAGAACCTTCTCAGTAATGACTCTGAGACCTGGGAGAGACTAGGGTGAGAGCATCACACCACTATTACACTCCATGAGGCAAATTTGGACCATCCTCCCAGATCTGTCAACCTGTGAAGAGTATTTCTTAGCCATTTCATTCACTTATTTCACCACCTGTTTATTGAGCATCTACTATTTGCCAGGAGCTGTAATAGGTGCTGTGGATACAATGATAACATGCAATAAAACAGACATGATTTTTGCCTTTCATTTCTCACATACTTGCCCTACAGACAGACAAGTAAATGGGCAAAACAGTGTAATGTGATGAATCTTGGGAGCGGTAGTGTACAACAAAAGCAAGTTTATATGGTTTGGCTCTGTGTCCCCAGACAAATCTCATGTTGAATTGTAATACTTAACGTTGGGAGAGGGACCTGGTGGGAGGTGATTGGATCATGAGGATGGATTTCCCCCATGCTGTTCTCATAATAGTGAGTGACTTCAGTGGCTTAAAAGTGTACTTCCCCCCGTCTCCACCCCCCACTCTGCCTCCACATGAAGAAGGTGCTTGCTTCCCCTTCACCTTCCACCATGATTGAAAGTTCCTGAGGCCTGTTAGCCATGCTTCCTGTACAGCCTGCAGAACTGGGAGTCAATTAAAACTCTTTTCTTCATAAATTACCCAGTCTCAGGTAGTTCTTTATAGCAGTGTGAAAACTGACTAATACACAAATACAACTGGACTCCCTCGGATCCCTTGTCTTCCATCTCAAATATTCTACCTTCCCTGACCCCATCCTTCTCCCCTTCCTTTCTCAGAGCAAGAGCTATTTCTACTCTTTTGGTGTTAACTCATCACCTGCAGATTTGATCCCATCTCCTCTTGCTTCCACTTGACTTTGGTGCGGCTATTATTCCCAGTCCCTTTGTCTCCCTTTTATCTTCATTAGCACCTTCCTGTTCCCTAAAACTAAACTGACCTACTTTGAAAATAAAACTTTTCCTTTATTAGTAAATTAATAAATTAATTCAACCACTCATTCACTCATTCAATAAGCATTCGTTGAGGCCCCATTATATGTCAGGCACTTTGGTTGGTACTAGATATTTAGGGGTGAACAAGACAAAAGTGGTCACTCCTCTGACCTATTTTATAACCTAGGGAGACAGATGGACCAAAAGAAAATCCTAACAAACAAGAATAAGCCAAGATATCAGTAAAGTAATCCCACATATTAAAAACTGATTAAGAAGTAAAGAATATCCATAGTAGATCAGCCAGGGAAGGCCTCTCACAGAAGAGGGATTTCAAGAGAGACTCACAAGGTGAGAAAGAGCCAGCCATGTGGGCAGCAAGGAGAAGAGGGTCTGGGGCAGATGGAATGTCATGTGCAAAGGCTCTGTGGCAAATAAGAGGCTGGCTTGTTGGTGGGACTGAGAGAAGGCCAGTGTAGGGAGCTTGGGAAGGTATGGCATGTAATGATGCTGGGGGGTGGCCAGGGACAGATCACACAAGCGCTTTGTAAGCCAAGATAAAGATTTGGATTTTACCTAAGTGAGGTAGGAATCCTCTAAAGGATTTTAAGCAGAGGAAAGATATGATAAGATTGACTTACAAATGGGGTTATTTCCAGATAACTCATCCTAAATTCAAAATATTATAGGTCAAAAATGCATCTAATACACTCAACCTACCAAACAGCATAGCTTAGCCTCACCTACCTTAAACATGCTTAGAACACTTACATTCACCTACAATTGGACAAAATCATCTGGCAACACAGTACACTACAGAGTATCAGTTTTTCATCCTCATGATCTTGAGGATGAACAGGAGCTGCGGCTCACTGCCACTGACCAGCGTTGCAGGAGGGTGTCATACGGCGTATCGCTAGTTGGGGAAGAGATCAAAATCCAAAATTCGAAGTGCAGTTTCTACTGAATGTAATAATTGTCCTGTTTTGCCCAGGACAGTTCTGGTCTATTCCCATTATCCTGGTACAATTATCAATAATGCCCCTTTTCATTCTTGCAAGTGTCTTGGTTTAGATGATAAATTATATGATCACCTGAAGGAGAGGGGCAAAGTATGAAAATGGGGAAACTAGGCTGGGCGCAGTGGCTCACGGCTGTAATCCCAGCACTTTGGGAGGCCGAGGCAGCGGATCATGAGGTCAGGAGATCAAGTGCATCCTGGCCAATATGGTGAAACTCCATCTCTACTAAAAATACAAAAATTAGCTGGGTGTGGTGGCAGGTGCCTGTAGTCCCAGCTACTTGGGAGGCTGAGGCACGAGAATCGCTTGAACCCAGGAGGCGGAGGTTGCAGTGAGCCGAGACTGTGCCACTGCACTCCAGCCTGGCAACAGAGTGAGACTTCATCTCACAAAAAAAAAAAAAGAAAGAAAGAAAAGAAAATGGGGAGACTAGTTAGATGGCTACCACAGTACCCCAATGAGAAATGATGTAGCCAGGAGCGTGAAGGTGTAAATGAGAGGAAGTCAATGGATTACAGATGAACTTTGGAAGTAGAATCACAGGACTGGCCAGCGGATTGGATGTGAGGCTAAAGTGAAGGGAAGCATCAACACATTCCCCTATCTGGTGTGAGGAACAGAGAGAATGGCCGTGTCATTAACTGAAATGGAGAAGCCTGGAGTGTGAAGAGTTCTGATGGGAAAACTCAAGTTCATTTTGGGACACGTTAAGTTTGAGATATCTGGAAGCCAGCTATGTAGATATGTCAAGTAGCCAGTTGGATGTACAAGCATGGAGCTCAGAAATGAGGTTTGCAGGTAGAGGTATAATTTTAAAATCCATCCACATATAAGTACTATTTAGACCTGTGAAAGAGAGCATAGCGAAATAAAGAATGGGGGCCCAGAGCCAAGTCTGAAGAACACAGAGTTTGGGGAGATAAAAAAGGCCCAGCTAAGGAAATAAAGGAGAGCCGGGCGCTGTGGCTCACGCCTGTAATACCAGCACTTTGGGAGGCCGAGGCGGGTGGATCACCTGAGGTCAGGAGTTCGAGACCAGCGTGGCCAATATGGTGAAACTCCGTCTCTAATAAAAATACAAAAAAAAAATTAGCCGGGCGTGGTGGCGTGTGCCTATAATCCCAGCTACTCGGGGGGCTGAGGCAGGAGAATCGCTTGAACCCTGGAGACGGAGATTGCAGTGAGCCTAGATCGTGCCACTGCACTTCAGCCTGGCAACCGAGCGAGACTTCATCTCAAAAAAAAATAAAAAATAAAAAATAAATAAAGGAGAACGGAGGTAGAACGGAGGTAGAGGGTAATATTATGCTACTTAGAGCTGATGAAGGAAAGAGTAGTATTATGAAGCCAAGAGACTAAATATATCAGGAAGGAAGGGGAGGCAACAGCATTGAATGTTGCTCACAGGGCTACTGATATGAGAAGAGAGAGATGTTCATTGTTTTGGGCAGCATGGAGGTCAGTGGTGACAAAGTTATTTTGCTTAAGTTGTGGGGACAGAAACCAGGCTGGAATGGGTTAACATATGATCAGAAGTGAAGAATGGTGTGTAGATGAGCAATACTTTCAACAAGTTTGACCTATTAAGAAGAAGAAGACAATGTGCAAGAGTGAAGAGTAATGTGGGTTGAAGTATAGGTTTTCAATGTGATCATCTAATTCAGAAAGCAACTACTGAGTGCCTGGACCCTGCTAGGCATTATGCATGCAATGATGAACAAGATATGGTGCCTGTTCTCAAGTCAGGCATTTCCCCAAGCATAAGGGCTCTCCTGGCCATTTAAACCAAGTGCTGGAGATCCAAGAAGAAGAAAGGGGTCTCCACTGCTGAATCTCTTGGCCCTGTTCAGTGTATCACAGGTTCTGGAGTCAGATAAACCAGCCCGTAGTCCTGGCTCTGCAACTGTTACATGTGTGACCTTGGAGAAGGTCCTAAACACATACCTCTCTAAACCTCAGTGTATCCAGCTGAGAACCTCAAAGCCCTCTCTGCAGCTTAAGTCAGACATTTAAAGTATAGGGCACAGTCTTGCAACTGCAATTTTAAAAGGCAGCTATTCTAATTACTATTTGCTGACTTCCCATACCCCAGCAAAATTTGGACTGCCACCAGTGTGTGCTTCTGTTGAGGCTCTTACTAAACTGTGTTGTCTATCTACATATCTCACTTCCCCTTTAGGACAGGAAGTAGAATTTTATCTGAACTAAAAGCCAATGAGATGCTGGCCAGGTGCAGTGGCTCAGGCCTGTACTCTCAGAACTTTGGCCAGCTGAGGCCATGAGTTCAAGACCAGCCCGGCCAACATGGTGAAACCCCATCTCTACTAAAAACACAAAAGCCAGGTGTGGTGGCCCATGCCTGTAATCCCAGCTGCTCAGGAGGGTGAGGTGAGAGAATCACTTGAACCCAGGAGGCGGAGGTTGCAGTGAACTGAGATCGCACCATTGCACTCCAGCCTGCTTGACAGGAGACTCTGTCTCAAAAAAAAAAAAAAAAACAAACAAAAAAAACCCAATGAGAATAAAGATAAGGAAAACCAACAGGAGAGTCATTCCTTAGGTAAAATGAGCAGGACAAATTAAAAATTGAGTCAGAGGAAGCACAGGTGTTGATAAGAGATAAACCAGAGTCGGCCAGGCAGAGGGGCTCAGGCCTGTAATCCTAGCACTTTGGGAGGCCAAGGCAGCAGATCACGTGAGGCCAGGAGTTCGACACCAGCCTGGCCAACATGGCAAAACCTGGTCTCTACTAAAAATACAAAAATTAGCCGGGCATGGTGGTGCGCACCTGTGGCCCCAGCTGCTCTGGAGGCTGAGGTGTGATAATTGCTTAAACCCAGGAGGCGGAGTTTGCAGTGAGCTGAGATCGTGCCACTGTACTCCAGCCTGGGCAAGAGAGAAAGATACTGTCTCAAATAAATAAATAAATAAATAAATAAATAAATAAATAAATAAACCAGAGTCCAACATAGCAGTTTCTAGGATAGAACTCCTAGGATTAGGCTTCTCTAAGCAAGGTACCTTCTTTTTATTGAGACATGGTCTCACTCTGTCATACAGGCTGGAGTACAATGGAGTGATCATAGCTCACTGCAGCCTTGACCTCCTGGGCTCAAGCAGTACTCTAGCCTCAGTCTCCCAAGTAGCTGGGAATACAGGCACATGCCACCATGCCTGGCTAATTTTTTTTTTTGGTTTTTAATAAAGATGAGGTTTCACTGTGTTGCCTAGGCTGGTCTTGAACTCCAGGGCTCAAGCGATCCTCTTGCCTCAGCCTCCCAAAGTGCTGGGATTACAGGCGTGAACCACCGCACTCAGCCCACAATGTACCTTCTCGATATGGAAAGAGGTCCCTGGGGGACAAGGCCTAGAGGCAGAGAGTGGACAGGATGCAATGAATTGGGCAGTATAAAGTCTGTGTACAGAGACACTGGAAACTGCAACAAAATAACCTGTGAGGCCCCGAAGAAGAAGTGGGGATTTGGGGGTAGAAGTCCCATCTAAGTTACAAAGGAGACTGATAGAAGGCTGCCCAGGGCTGTGCCAGAGCCATAACTCCAGCCACTCAGAAGCCCAGGATGATGGTCAGTGCTTTACCTGCTTAGGCTTACTCAGGAGGGGAAGCTGGGGCCGAAAATGACCAGAGAAGCTTGGCTTGGGTCATGTGAGGAGCCTGCATAGTTATAGGCCAGCTGGGAGTCCTTGGGCACCCCCAGTCACAGGCTCATCTACCATGGTGCTGTTTATCTTCCATATGGCCTCAGATGACCATTCTTCCCACAAAGTCTGCCTCAATGTTCCCAGTTTCCATCAACAAATTCAATTTGACAAACATTTATTGAACACCTCTAGGTGCCCTATACCAGTTCCTGGGGACACCAAGCTCAGTGAACCTGTGTCCCTGTCTGGGGGGAGAAGTGTGTGGCTCACAGCCCAGTCGCCGGAGAGCAGAGGAGCAGGAAGCTCAGTCGTTCTTAGGCATGCCGTCAGGTCTGAAGCGATCAGGGTCTTTGCCACTCCGGCCCCATTCCTCAGCTTTCTCATTGGACTTCGAGTCCTCCAATACAGTGCTGCTGTTTCCAAATAAATAATAGTCTAAAAGTCCCTGAAGATAGACCCTGGTACTGCTGCAACCCAAAGAAAGGAGACAGGAGATTAATCTCTTGACTCACCTGAGATAGCTCCACCTGCTAACTCCCTCCTCTTCTCCCACCCAAGGAACGACTGAGAGGAGGCCGGAAAACTCATGGAAAGGGGAAGAAGGCTATCAATCTTCTTGGGCAAAGTCCTAAGTCCGCTGGTACTTTCTGCACTGTGCAACAGAGTGCTTTCCCTTTATTATTATTATTATTATTATTATTATTATTATTATTATTTGGAGACAGGGTCTCATTCTGTTGCCCAGGCTGGAGGGCAGTGGCTCGATCATGGGTCACTGCAGCCTCGACCTCCTGGGTTCAAGGGATCTCCCACTTCAGCCTCCTGAGTAGCTGGGACTACAGGTGCATGCCACCATGCCTGGCTAATTTCTTTTATTTTCTGTAGAGATAAGGGTCTTGCTATGTTACCCAGGCTGCTCTTAAATCCCTGGGCCCAAGAGATCCTCCCACCTTGTCCTCCCAAAGACTTGGAACTACAGGTATGAGCCCCTGAACCCGGCCCCTGCAACAGTGTGCTTTCCAGACCTCTCCTCGGTTCTTACTTTCCCTTTGTGGGTGAAAGGAGACATGTCCTCACCAGCCTTGCTCTGGCTCTGCCAGCCACCCAGACCCCAGGAGTATGTGGAGGAGGAGAAAGAGCCACAGGTTCTCCTGACTCTCAAGACAGATAGGCACTGCTGGCCTGTCACTGGAGTCCCCAGGAATCTGTGTTACCTGATCAGTTTAGCAGCCCAGACACCCCCAGGTCCTCTTTCGGCAGCATCATAGTTTCCCTGAGCATAGAAATATCTGTTTGAATTCTGGTGACTGGATGTCAACACATTCCAATAGGCTCTGCCCAAGTCCCCAGCCCCTGGAAAGAAAAAAAAAAATGACAAAAATGAACCTAGTGCCATACTGGAGAAATGTAGAAATGATCATTCTCCACTGATTTCCAGATTTTGACCCTTGACAAAATAATCCTTTGAAATCATACATACAGATAAACATTACTTCCTGTGAACAGCTTTCCTGAGTAACTGTAAGGAAGGTGCTTTTCCGTGCATTACATTGAATTGAATTGGTTGGCAGCTGTCATGCCCTAGGCTACATCTTACGTGGGTCTGTGTGTGCTGTGTACAAAGAGGGAACGCTCATGTGAGGAATGTCACAATGGAGAATAGTACTACAGATGTAAGATCCAGACACATTACAAGGGACATGGAGGGGGCTGTACATCTACCATAGCCCATAAGAAAAATACATCCTTACCAGCTGACTGAGGACAACTAGGACTTGAATAAATCTGACTGTTATGGGCATAAATGGCACAGGAAAGCCGAGGGAATGGGCAGTACGTGATGAGGTGGAATGACCTGAGAGAGCTTCACAGGACCTGGATAATCAGATTTATCATGAAGGGTATGAATGTAAATGTTCAACTCTCTGCCCCGACAATTAAGTTTCAGTTTCCACATTCTTCAATTGGGGGGATTCATACCTACCTCCCTGGTAGACTGAAGGAGAAGATAAAATGAAGTAACATACACAAAATGCCTAGCATATTGGAATACTTGATGCAAGTTGGATTCCTGTTCCTATTAGTGAAGGGCAGTGGTGACAATAAGATACCACTATACACCCAACAGAATGACAAAAATTTTTTAAACTGACAATATACACTGTGGGCAAAAATGTGGAACAACTGGAACTCTCATAATTGTTTTGGATTTTGTTTTGTTTTGTTCAGTCAGGATCTCCCTTCGTGACCCAGGCTGGAGTGCAGTGGTGTGATCAAGGCTTTCTGCAGGCTCGACCTCCTGGGCTCAAGTGATCCCCCCATCAGGATCATTTCTGTTGTAGGTCTATACACTTAGGAATGGAAAATTAAGTCATCAGGAGGAAGTCATGCAATTTAACTTTGCTGCTAGACTACCCAGGTAGGTCCAAATTGGACCAATTACACTCCATGAACCAATTACATCGAAGAGCCTGGCATGGCACGGCCTCACCAACTCGTAAACTCCGAGTAACTTTGAAGGCTAAGCGGAGGCACCTTGAGGCCACGGAATTTGAGACCAGCAGCAACAAAACTGAACCGCATTCTCTACCCAACAAAAAAAAAAAGAAATTAGCTCGGTGTTCATCAGGTCCGTAGTCCCCGCCTTGT